ACCAATAATGCTCTTTTTCTGTCCCAGGATGTTATTTCTGATCTCACATTGTATTTCGTTGTTATTTCCCCTTAGTCTCTTCCATTCTGTAACAGTTCTTCAGTTTTTCCTTGTCTTCATCACCTTGACACATTTGAAGAGTGCTGATCAGGTTTTTTTTACAGTATCCCTCAGTTTGGGTTTGTCTGATGATTTCTCATCATTGGAATGAGTTTATGCATTTTTGGCACAAGTACCACAAAAATGCCATTGAGCCACTCTTGGTGCATCATATCAAGACATTTATGATAATGATATGTTTCATTTCTTACTGATGATATTTACCTTGATGGCTTGGTTAAGTTTATGTCTGTGGGGTTTCTCTACTCTGAAGTTACTATCTTTCTATTTGTAGTTGATAAATGTCTTGAGGGAGATACTTTGAGACTGCAAATCATGAATCTCCTCAAGCTTTTGCCCACATGGTATTAGTGTTGATCCATGGATCTTGTCTGCAGCATTTATTACTGTGTGTTTGCCTAATGGTGATTCTCTGTTTCTCTCTTTCCTTCTGTGTTTATTAATTGGGATTCTACTCTGAAGAAGAGCTGTCTCATCTCCAATGTTTATTTATTTATTTGATTATTTATTTCTGTCAGTATGGACTCATGGATATTTATCTGGTTCCATGGATTAAAGTCCGATACTATCATTATTTATTGTTCTAGCTTGAGCCATTAGAGCTCCTCCAGGTTGGCTCTTGTGTTCTTATATCTCATCATTTTTTCAGCATTTCATTACTTTCTAGCACTACAAAATGTTCCACTCTCATCTTGTATTTCCCTGCTACAGCCCTGCTGGAGGAAGGCTTGAAAAGCCCAAATTCCTTTTATTGGAGAACAGTATTTAGAAACCAAAATGTGGGCACTAAGTGTGTATATTGCTACTGAGGTGTCGTTGCTCCTAGCCCCTCTCAGTGGACCGAGCTAGGAAACATGTGTATGTATGTAGCTACATTACCAGTGAATAACATAATCATACTGCAGGGGGTGGGGAAAAGATTAACAATGTTTATTTTAGGTTTTTAGAAAATGAGCAGATTTACTCAGCGCATAGGTTGCATTAATATGTGTTCAACAGATTAGTGGAGGCATGTATTATAGCCATTTTTTAAAGCTCTTAGAATGGAAGGTAATTGTGATATGTCTTCTGGTTTGTTAATCAGATTTAAAAAGTGGATGGATTCACTGTAAACAAGGGATGAAATTAACGTTAGTGAACAGCTTGACACCTGTGAGCTGTGAGGTGTTTGAAATAATGAAAGTTGATGACAGTGGGAGATTTCAGGGAGGAAAATGACAGGGATGTGAATGGACAACTAATAGAAATAAAGTCATGCTTGATACTGTGTTAATGATCTAGTCTATTATTACCTGGATTTAGAAATCCAGAAATTTAGAAAGAGGGTTGTTTGCTCGGTGACAAACTAGTATTTGGTAGTCTTCGTTGTTACATCAGAAAAAAGGAGAACGCAGTTAAGAAACAGATAACCATATTTTAGTTGATCACTTTATTGATATTTTTTGGATTCCTAAACTGCTACATTTGTATTATTTCTATACATTTGTGTATTAGTCAGCTCCGGCTGCCGTAACAAAATACCACAGACTTGGCGGCTTAAAGAACAGAACTTTGTTTTCTCAGAGTTCTGGAGGCTGGAAGCCTGCGATCAGGATGCCAGCATTGTTGGGTTCTCGTGAAGATGCTTTTCCTGGCTATAGACAGCTGCTTGCTCTCTGTGGCCTAACCAAGGTCTTTCCTCGGTGCATGTGTGTCCTCTTCTTATAAAGCCGCTAATCCTGTCTGATTAGGACCCTTTCCTTATGATATCATTTAACCTTCATTACCTCCTAGAAGCCCTGTCTGCAAATACAGTCACATTGGGGTTTAAGACTTCAATGCGAATTTTACGGGGACACATTTCAGTCCTTAGTAATTTGGATGACGTATTTTAGTATTCCTAAATAATGAATGTAATTTTACCTTAATAGGTTTACGTTAAGTCTGTCTTTTAACAGTTTTAACAGGGAATGAATCTGTGCTCATTCTCACAATAATTTGCCCTGGTAAATCTTTCTTTGGTTATATCTCTGCCCTTCTCTTCAACTCCCCTTATATCATGGCGTGCTTTTGGCCTTGGTCATAACGTCTTTCAGCAGTATTCATATAGTTTCTGTAAATTATAGTAAATTGCATTGCAGTAGTGTTTGTTATGCCCTTTAAAATGAAAAACAGGTTTGTACCAATCCCTAATGAACTGCTGATCTTGATCCCCTGTTTCTTAGACCATTTTCTTGAAAAATTTAGAACTGTAGTAATAGTTGATTTTAAAGATCCAGGTAAATATTGTTCCTTTTTTTGCAGCAACTTGAGCATTATTCTGGCCATTATGTTAAGACTGTAACTTAATAGAATAGAAAAGAAAAGGAAAAATGGAAGATCTGTTGCTTGCTGTACTGTGGCCTGGTAGAGCACATTCAGGTGATGATGATGTGGTATCAGCTCTCATTAGCTGAGTGCCTAGATAGCGCTTATAGCACAGGAGACAAAATTCAAAGTATAAGGGCAATGTATCGTATAGTTTTAGATATTTTAAGGAAAATATTTATGAGAAATAGTGTTATAGTGAATGTTATAGTGTTATGTTAATGTTATAATGAATTAGCAGTGTTTGGCATAGTATTAAACAGTGTAAGAAGATATGTAAATTTTAACCAGCTTTTTTACATCCCTTCAAAGATATTTTGGCAAACCTATTGGAGGTGTTGCCCACAAGGACTTTTATTGTGTTACATTTGGGTTCAGCTATATGAGGCAAGGTATTAGTAGTTGAATCTTGGTGAATGAGGGAAGCTATAATGAAAATAGAAGCTGAGAAAGTAGAAAGCTTCTCTTCTAAGGAGATAAACTCAGCCTATAAATAGGAAGTGAATAAAGTTGTAAGTAGATATGGATTAAGGCAAGCTATTTGGGATTGAGGAGAGGAAAAATGTGAGACTGTCAGGTACCTATTTTTTATGTGGCACATAATGGTGTTGTGGTGGCCAAAAAGAGGCAATATAGCTGGTCAGACATTCTAGTGAAGAGAAAATTTAAAGCCAGGAAACCACTGTTTATCTAATATTCTTTCTTTTTTGGCCTGTAGTGGTTTGGAAAAGTCTGTCCTACTCAGGGTCATCATAGTAGTAATTTTTACTTTCCAGCTAGTAAGGACTATAAGATCTGGAGGGGATACAAGTTCACAGAGATAATATCCTCTAGCTTTCTTTTTTATCCATACATGTTCCTAGAAACATTGGAGACATGTGCTAGCTACCTGGTATTGTAATTTGGAATTGTCAGAGAACTGTGAAGGGTCTGAGATTTTATCTAAGTTAGCTTGCCACAGTTTCATGGGTGCTGGCAGGACACATGAAACTCCTGGGTCAAAGATAACGGACTTGATACTCATGGCACAGTAAGCAGCTTGAGCTTCATATTCACAATGGTTCCCCTTGCCCCTCAAGTTCTGCAAAGGTGATGCGAGTGGCCCAGGTGGATCCTGCACTCACAGTAGGTTTTCATCACAGAGGAGGAACCCCAAGTTTAGGGAACCCTAATTTTTATAATGATCTGCAAGCATATCTGGCTGACCATTGCCCCAGAAGGAGACATTGTCAAGATTATACTGGGCAGTATAGACAGGCTCCCTGTTCTGGAGGGAGACATCCTCTCTATTTTTCAAGGCTGTTTCCTATAAATAACTCTGAAAAGATGAAGGCAGTCAAGGCCTCTTTTTGAAAAACTAGAAATACAAGAGACTCATGGAAAATTGTCTCCCAATAGGAAGTGATTAGTGTGAAAAGTACTTGAGCTCTGAGTGTTCTTGGCTTTTGTACTCTGCTCTAGTTTTCCCAGCTTTTAAATCAGTTGGCAAACTTTTCCTGTAAAGGGGCAGATATTAAATATTTTAGGCTTTGTGAGCCATATGATTCCTGTCACAACCCTTCAACTCAGCAGTTATAGCAGGAAAGCAGCCATTGATAATACGTAAATGGATGAACCTGGCTGTGTTCCAATTAAACTTTATGGACATTGAAATTTGAATTTCATATGATTTTCACACATCACAAAATATTTTTTTCAACCGTTTAAAAATGTAACATCCGTTCTTAGCTCGTGGGTTGTACAAAAACAGGTGGCAGGCCAAATTTGGCCTGTAGTCTGTAGTTTGCCAACTTGTTTTATATGATGAATTTTTAAAATATAATTCATTGTTTTAATACAGCAGTCTTCCATATTAACATTTTATAGCAGTTGATAGTTCTAAATGTTTTCTCATAAATTATGCCAATTTAGTTTCCGGGTAAACCTGCAAGATAAGCATTATTATATCCATTTCATGGTGAGGAAACTAATGCATAGAGAAGGACGATGACCTACCCAATTCATAAAACTAGTTAAGTGACAGAGCCAAGACCGATTATATTCTGGACTCTTTTATCCATAATATGGTACAGTTTAAACTTTCATAATCAGAGCATTACACCACTGTATCTTTATTACTCATTTGTTGCCAGAATGCTTAGAGTTCAGTCTAATAAGTAATAATGACAATAATAATGCATGCTCATTTCTAATTTTCTTTATTACTATATTCTACTGTCTAGCTATTTTAATATTTAATAATTGGTATTTTGACAAAAGCTAGATATAGGACATGAGGGGTATTTGTTACAAAGTTTGGTAAAGTTTTGGAAGTCTGACAGTGCAGTCATTCATATATTCTATTTATTTTCCACATTTTCAAAGATAATAGTTAATTTTATTTTCAGATGTATGCCATGAAAATAAACAGTATAGAAATTTTTCTCCCCCTAAATCATTTATGTTCATGGTTAACTAATGTTTTAATTTATCTAGTAAGTTTTATCCAAATTTTTGAACGTGAGATGTTGGGAACGTTTTCTATAATAATGTACTTTTTGGATTGCTTCCCTGTCAGGTGGTTGAAGATTACGCTGGAAGATGGCAGGTCCCTTTGCCACAGCTTCAGGTTCTTCAGACTGCACTTTGCTGTTTTACATCAGCCAGTGCATCGTTCCCAGATGAATGTGAGCACGTACAATATGTTTTGAGTAGCCTTGCTTTGTAAGTACTCTTTACTTCTTATCGAAGTATTATTTTTCTTGATGTATTTGAGAATTGTTTTTTGATTATTTTCTCTGTGGAAGGAACCTTTTCTAAAGCCTTCCTTCAAAAATAAATTTCCATTTCTTCATTTAAGTATCTAGATTTAATTTTGAACATGTAACCACAATTTTACTTTTAGTTTTAGAGTTAATTGGAATTGTTACAGATTCTTATGGTCACTACCAGCACTATCCTTTTTAATTCCCCAGATTGCCTCGGCCAGCTCTAATGGTAAGTCCCAGAATACAGCAATTGAGGCCATCATAGTTAGCAGAGGGACCTTAAATCAGGCCAGAAAGAAGTTAGGCAACCCCTGGTTTTTAAAAATACTTGTAGAGGACTTTGAGTTAAGGATCACAAACTGAGCACTTGTGTTTATCCTTTTTGCCCTCCTAGATCCTACTAAAATTATAGTAAAGAAGTAAGAGAAGTAGAGTGGAAAAAAAATAGAGAAGAGTCATCAGTGAATGAAAGATTTCAGCAATTTTCTGGGGGACAGAAAACAGAGGAGTGGTCATTGAAACATGGCAGAGCAAGTGACAACTTGATTTTTTTTTTTTGTGCCTCAGACTGCGCTCATATCACAATAGTGTGTTGTGAAATCATTTATCAACATTACAAAATGCAATAGAAAATATCAGAGTACGTCTCGTAGGACAAGCATTATTTTGTGAAACTCTTATTGTTTTATATATTTATTTATGTATGTGTATACTTGATTATTTGTAAAACATTTTTTAAACCGTGGGTAGGAGTTAAAACAAAATTATTTTATGCCTTGTAAGATAGGAGGAAGACAGTCTGTCCTGCCTCCCTCTCCGCAGAATCCTAGAGAGGTGTAAAATTTGAACATGCAAGGTATGAAATAGAGAGTAGGAAATGAGATACTTCGGAAGAATGCAGATAAAAGAGTTAATTGCAGTTTTTCCATTCAGGCCAATCACCAGGCCTTAAGGCCAGAGTAGGGTAGGGAAACAGTGTTCGCTGCTCTTTTTTTCCTCTAAAAAAATTAAGTGACTTTGGAGCAGTGACCTTTGCATTCTGGCAATTAAAGCTTCCTCTTTGAGACAGCTAGCTAATCACTTAATTATCCTAGAGAAAAACTCAACAGTCACCAAGCTCTAGACATGCTCATAGGGCTCCCGATTAATCTGCTTATGGCCTTATTCTTAAATATTAATGGGTATTCAAGAATCATCAGACATTTGAGGAGTGCCTTCAACATGAAAAAAGTACAATGAAAATGAACTTAAAAAAAAATTCTGGAAGAAATAGTATTAATATTGAAAACAGAAATAAATTAAAAGAGAAATATAAAATCTATAATTAGCATTTTAAGAGAGTTTAGAAGATATGTATAACGTTAAACCATCAACATATCATGCTATGTGAAATGAATGATGAGATAACAAAAATGAGTTTGTAGAAATTAAGAAAATATGATGGTTAAAATTTAAAGTTGTAGGAAATTTGGAAGGTAAGGTTGAAATAATCCACAATGTAGAACAAAACCAAAGAGAAGGAATGTGTCAAAAAACAATGATATGGTGGCTTCATGTAGGAGGTTCGTTATTGAACTAGTTGGAGTTCTAGGAAAAGAACTTGGAGTAAATACATTGGAGGAAATTTTCAAAGACATCATAAAAGAATTTCCCAGAACTGAAAGTCATGAACCTCTAGACTGAAAAAGCCCAAGAAGTGCTCAGCGCAATGACTATAGAAGTTACTCAGCTAACTACATCATTTTGCAATTTCAAAATGCCAAGAATGAGAAAAAAGTTTTGAGTACCTTCTAGAGAGGAAAATCTACGTCACCTCCAAAGGAACAAATATCAGATTGGTATCCAGTCTTCATACAGCCAACAGAGAGTGGTAGAATATAATGAATAGTGTTTCTGAAGATTTGAGGGGAAATTATTTTCAATGTAGAATTTTATACTCATGCAAACTGTCTGAAGTGTGAGTAGAAACAACATTTCCAGGCATGTAAGGACCTAAAAGATTGACTTGTCAACATACCTTTTCTTGGGAAGTTATTAGAGAATGTGCTCCAGAAAAATGAGGGTGTAGTATAAAAGAGCAGATGACAGTGGTAAAGTATGAAAAGTAGAAGAAGTATGGTAAGCTTTAAGTGGCTTTTACTTAAGACAGAAGGAAGAGAAGTCCCAGAATCACTGCCGAGTAGTAGATCTTACAGATGTGTCACCTCCAAGAGGGAAATATCCAGTAAAAATGGAGACTTGAGACTAATCTTGAGAATTTGGAACTGTTGAAGGTAGTGATAAAAGTAGACAAAAGAAATAAAAAGGCAATTAGACACTCCAGAAAAATTAAAAATAATCTGAACAGGAGAGGAACACAGAGTCATAGCAGACTACTTAGTTGTGCACTGAATGTTATTTATATAGTTTCTTAATGATGTTTATTGGCTTTAAACTTTTAGATAAAGTATAGTTACAGAACAGAGGGAAATTATTAACTTTTCAATATGAGAATATTTGATGGAAATTGTGAGTTGAAAGTGAAGGACGAGGGCACTAATATCCTTCCTTTAACTCTTATTTTACAAAATGGGAGTGTCAGTAGTACAGGAAACCATAAATAAAAGTGTAAGTAAAGTTACAAAGATAAATAATAGAGTAAATAATAATAATGAATAACTATTGGGAAGATGGAATTGGTTGTGTGCGGCGTTAAATTCTATTCTGTCACAGCAGGAAGGCACGGGGTAATATTTAAAATGTAAATCCAATACTAGCAGAGCTTATTGTCAACAGCTGTTAGAAATATTGCAAGTTGTTAATTCTGGGGTGTGGGCTGGTGAGAGAGAGGGTTGAAGCCTTTCTGTACACTAAGCATTTTTAAATCTTGAAGATGTGTTAATTTCATATATATGAACTATGTTTTTTATTTTATATATATGTATAAAAATTTAAAAGAGTACATGTACATTGTACTTCTTTTAAAGTTTGTGTATATTTAAAATTGTAGGAGGGAACTATGTGAGGTGATGGATATGTTAACCAGCTTGATTGTGGTAATCTTTTCACTATGTATGTGTATATCAAAACATCAAGTTGTATACCTTAAATACATATAATTTTTATTTGTCAATTATACCCCAATAAAGCTGAAAAAAAAGTTGTGAGGGGAGGAGAATTTAGGATATAACATTATTTAGATTTGTAAGAGCCAAGCAGTTTTAAAAAACTATGTTATTTTAA